TAAGCACTGAAATAAATATAGTGTTCTTCAAGCAGTTTAGAAGACAGAGCTGAATACACCTCAGACTGAAGAAGTCTTTCGGATGAAAGACGAAACGTTTCTATATTTTTTTGTTGTTGTTGTTTGGCTTTGTTTTGTTTTTTGAATGTCCAGATGACCAGACTTAACTTGTTTAGCTTGTTCTACCTGGATTATTGAGCATGCATCAGGATAGTGTTCTTCAAGGTTTTTCACCTATCGTGGTGGTGTGTGCAATGTAACCCCCGCAATAATCGAGGGACTAACTTTATATGAATTTGCTTTACAAGTAGCGGTAGCAGCCACTGTAGCATGTCCGGTGAAGCCTGGAGCATTTCAGACAGAAATATCACAATATTTCTGCTCAAATATTTGTGTAATGCAAGCACTTAGTGTACAATTTAATAAAGTAGCTCTGACTTTTTGAAACTGCAACTGTTTTAATACTTGGTCCATTTGTGTGGGTCCCGTTCTTATCAGTGATGGGATGTAACAAAGTACAAGTACTTCGTTACTGTACTTAAGTACATTTTTCATGTCTCTGTACTAGAGTTAAACGTGGGTACTTTCTACTTTTACTTCACTACATTTTACATTAAGTATCTGTACTTTCTACTACACTACATTTCTATAATATGTTGCGATACACGTTACTTTCACGTTGTGGTTTTTAAAATATTTTCGTTAGTTTGAAAGTAACCAATGGCGAGAGGGGAGCTGGTCCATTGAATCACTGCAAAGTGGGCAAGTAACATTAGACCCACCTTCAAGAAGAGCTGGGCCAATGAAGTATATTCTAGTATATATGTCATTGAGCTGGGAGCACCAGCAGCACCACTAACACACCCAAAATGGATTCCACCGTGGAGAGTCAGCCAGAAGATGCGCACCACCCATGACCTTATTGAAAGATTATTCAGTACAGCAGGACAGATACTCTCTCCCAAAAGAGCCAGACTGGACTCAAAAAACTTTGAAAACCAACTTCTTCTGAACTTGAACAAAAAAATTCTTGCTGCAATATTAAAATGTGTCAGTTCATGGGATGTTAGGAGACAAGAGATGTCTCCAAATGACACAACACTCAGGTCCAAGTTTTGAAAATGGTGTCAGGAAGTTAAAATATTGTTCACTATTGACCCAGTACAAGGTCGACTAGACAGTATTTTAACTAGAGTTGATGACAAACTGGAGTTGAAATGATCAGATGTTTCTTTGTTTGGTCTAATGATCCTTTTTTCAGGCAGACAACTTTTACTTAAATGTGTTTACTGCAGTTAAAATGACACATTGGTTTTGCTTTGTGTTAAATAAAAACTTTCAAAGGTATAATCATTCCTCGTTCTTATTTTGCTTAATGACATTTAACTCTGCAGGTCATCCCTGAAATTCTGACGCACAGAATCACAAGTCCAAGTGTGAACGGTGTCACAGAGTAAACACAATAAAAACATGTATTATCTGCAGCATTGTTCATTAAAATGGCTCAACACTATTGATGTATTACAGAAAATATACATACTGTAGGCACTCTTAATGATATGTAGAACATTGCATTAGGTAATACATTCAGCAAGTACTCTATTTTTAATACTTTAAGTATTTTTAAAAGCAAGTACTTTTACTTAAGTTAAAAACATTAATGTGGTACTTCTACTTTTACTAAGAATACATTTTTGTCTGTTTATTTGTACTTTGCTTAAGTAAAGTGTTTGAGTACTTTCTCCACCTCTGCCGTTCGGACCAGCTATCAGCTCATCAGACTGTTCAGAATTATATTTCTCCAAACTGAGTTTGTTCAAACTATTCTTAACAATTCTACAAAACCCCTCTAATAAAAATGTTGGAAGTATCCCTTTACTTTAAGCACGTTTTCCTCCGTGTTCTTGGACTACAGTGGTCCCTCGTTTATCACGGGGGATCCGTACCCTGAAGTCACACGATAAGTGAAAAACCACGAAGTAGGAATATAGTAGTCCAAGTTGAAGTTAAAGTAAAGTAAACTTTATATTAAGGCTGTAGAAACCCTTCCCACACTCTTGCAATGTTCTCATTTTAACAACATACGTTACTAAATTTTACTAACCAGGCTCTGCAGAACAGGAACGGCTCGGTTCTGGTCCGACCCGATGGATGGAAAAAAGTCCCGGTGCAGCATGACTGAAGCCCACCGCTCCGTCCAGCTTGATGTACGTGTGCTGCTGCTCCAGGAGCAAGGCTGCCCAGGATTTAGTGTACCACCTCTGGCCCCGTCCGGACCAGCACCGCGCGACCAGAACCAGGCTGAACCCCGCAGCCGTCTGTCGCCTGCAGCTCCCAGGATCCGGATCACACTGAGTCCAGATCAACTGCAGCCCAGCTACTCACCAGTGAAGACAGTTTTTGTGTAGTGTTTGTGTTTGTGTGTGTCTTGCTGTCTCTAATCCCTGCGTCAATATTTTTCTCAGGCTGATCGGTCCAGGAGACACTTGACTCAAGCTGTGAATAAGAGGAAGAGTAAGCGTAAAACCTGCCGCCCCAGCATCTTCTCTCTCCTCAGCCACGACTCGAAATCCAACCCCCTACAGACGAGTTTCCATGACAACACAAAGGCAGCAGACTGTTAGCAGGGGATAAAGGGGTATGTGCTAGCAGAGTTGCATAGCGCCATTATTTAACTTGATGCTGCTTAATTACACAGATACGTTTCTTTAAGGTTTGCAATTGAAATACCATCTTGTAAAATAAGTCTGTTAAATAAATAAATATATTCTCAGGTGACCAGAGTGAGGAGACAAGTGAAGCTTGATCCACCAAAGAGAGGGAAGTCGGGTCGTTCTGAAGCGTTCTCCGTCTTGGTGAGCTATCATACCATGTTTATCGTCTCTGGAGTTTAATATTTGATTTGTGTTTAATCGAGACCTGTCCTCTGCAGGGACATCCACGGGCTGATGGTCAGAGCGATGCAACCAAACGGACCGTGCAGACGTCGGGTGTTGCAGG